TCTAGAAGTTTTTTTGTAGATTCCTTAGGATTGTCTACATAGATAAAAATACCATCTAGGAATGAAGAGTTTTATTCTCCCTTTCAATCTTAATGCCTATATTTCTTTTTCTTGCCGTATTGCACTGGTGTGACCTCCACTACAATGTCAGTGGAAATAGTAAAAGTGGACCTCCTTGTCTTTTTTATGATCTTAAAGGGAAAGCATTCAGTAGTCACTATTAACACTGATGTTAGTTGTTGCTTTCTTCTTGGATTTTAAAGTCCTTCACGCTTTCATTTCTTTGTATCTTTTGTTGTAATGATTTTTTGATAGATGAATGAGTGAATAAAAAGCCTGAGTAATTAGAATAGGAAGGTTTACTAATTAAGTCTTGCCCCATGTTCAGATTGGTTAGTTGGCCTGCTCGATAGAGAAAGAGGGAGATGGAAGAGTCAGAGAGAAAAAGTACAATGATCTCCCTTCCAGCTCTGTTGAGCTTTTGAGAGAAAATCTTGAGTGAGAATGTAAAATGGTCCAACTGTTTTGGAAGACTGCCTGGTGGTTTCTTGTGAAGTTAAACGTACACCTGTCCTCTGACCCAATAATTCCACTACTGTGTATCTATCTACACAAGAGAAATAAGTGTGTATGCCAATGAAAGACTTGTACATGAACCTTCGTATCAGCTTAATTTATAATGCTGAAAATTAGAGACAGCCTAAATGTCCATCAGCAAGAATAGATTTAAAAGTCATGGCATATTTGTACAATGGAATACTACTCAGGAATAAAAAGGAACAAACTCCCAGTACACACAACTATGGGGATAAACCTCAAGACTATTGTACTAAGTGAAAGAAGCCAGACTCAAAAGAGTACATAGAGTTCGGTTCCATGTATATGAAGTTCTAAAACAGGTAAAACTAATCTACAGTGCTAAGAATCAGGTTGTTACCTGGGGTGAGCAGAGGGGTATGGATTGGCTAAAAAGGGGCAGAAAAGGAATTTCTGGGGAGACAAAAGTATTCTAACTCTTGATTGTTGTGGTGGACCCATGGGAGTATATATCTGTCAAAACTCAAACCATATACTTAAGATATGTGCACTTCACCAAATGTTAATTAATCCTCGAGAAAAAATAAATTTAGAAAAAACAAATCTGCGGGGAAAAGGCAGAGCACTAATGAATGAATTTTCAACAATGCAATTTCAGACACTTGGACCCCTGGTACAAAGAAGATCTTCTGGGGGCCAAGTGACAGCATTAAGGAACAGCTTTGTGAGTTGTGGTCGGGCCCCACATTCTCTACCAACAGACATCCACCAACCAATAAACATACAAATTAAGTAAAAACAATGTGGATGCCAAACAAATGAGGCTCTAAGACAAGTTCCATATACCCTTTTCCAAGTGAACTGCAGGTCCCTTGACCGCCTAATGAGAAATTCAGGGGCCTCCAGTTTGAAGCTCAAATCACTTAGGCAGCCAGCTACCGAGACTTAAGGCATCCTCCCCATCCATTTGTAAACCTTTGTCCATCCTTTCAACTTCCTGGGTTCAAATGCCCCCTGCACTGCTCTAAATCATTGGACTAATGGACTAAATGAGTAAGTACAGTCCAAGCAACACACAGCAGTGCTGGAGACATAGGAAACACCCAGAAAATGTCAGATATCATCATGGCTTCTATTTCTGCCTTTCCCTCGAGTTCTCCTTCAGTTCCATAGGATCCTGAGGGGCCTTTGGGGAGAAGGGTCATGGATAAGTTTTCTTGACTTTTCTAAAATTTCTGAATGAACTTAGGAGCCTCCCCAAGAGATAAGAGACCAAAGAGATGAGTTTTTCTCTACAAGGGCCTACATCCTCACCCAGGTTCACCATACCCTAGAATTTCAGCAGACTCTTGAACACCAGTGTTTTATACTTAAGCAAATCAAGGCCACAAACAGTAAAGTGGATTTCAGCAAGCTCTCCAATCTGTCAGAACCATGTCAAGACTTTGCAACCTTGCTGTACTTGCTCCCTAAGACTTATATGCAGACATTGAATCCAGCAGGCACTCAATAAACATTTTCATGAAATGTGTACTGGGGTGGGGAGAAAGTGGCTCCTTTTCAGGGTAGTGAGAGGTCCAAAATGTGCTGCAATAAATTTGTTCGTCTACACAAATTAAAATTTGTTGAATCATGAGGATTTTCTTTGATTTTTTAAAACTGGATTTTTTTTTTCCAAGTGAGCATACACTTTGTTTCCTGGGTTACACAGGAGAACTCAGGCAACTGAGTCGAAATAGCTGCTTTAATTTCCAGTCCAGGAAAGGCAATGTAACAGAGGGGCAAAGGAGAGACTTGGGGACTAACGCCTCCTCGCTTCTGAGCTAGAACATGTTACTTACAAAACACTCCCTACTATGGATCATAATTGCCTATGTACCAAGGTTACAGTGAGAGCCTGAACTGTGTCTAGTATAATGCTTAGCACAGAGGATCTCAACAAACAGATGCGTTTTTAGTAACAATAGAGCTTCTTCTTTCTCCGGGCGCATGGGACAATTGCTCCTGAGCCCTATCACCCCCAGCCCGTCACCCTTGCCCCAGAGCGATGAAGTCATAGTCTGGTCCAGCTTTAACTCAAGCTGTTAGGGAACTGGACAAGAATGATGCTTCAAGTATTAGGAGCAAGAAAACAAAAGAAGAGACAAGAAGCCTGAGCTCCAAAATTCAAACCTAGACAAGCAACAATTCCAAAACAGCCTCAAACTGGGGCACAACGAAACATTATGTAACCAGAAGGCTCCTTTATTTATTCCATTGGCAAACATTTCCTGCTTGGTTTTGTATAAACACGGGTGCAGAATTTCCTAGCAGTCGTATCTTCTGTGAGGCCGGCTATCATTACCCTGTTTGGTTCGGAAGGTTGACCTCATTGTTTGAACAGTTCGCTTCCCCCACTCACACCAGACACTGGTGAGTTGGCTCCATTTAGGCATGGGGATTCGGATTAAATGCTTCTGGATTAACAGCACAACGAGTCTGCACTGTCCCAAGTAGCATCAGCAACACGAAAGAAACCCTTCTGCCCAAGAACTTGGAGCTCAAGTAGTTCGGCAGCCTTTCTGAGAGGTGAAAAGAATGCAAAGACACATGAGGGCTTACCCCAGGTGGGGTTTCGCCTTGGTAAGACCATGTGTACATAAGAGAACTTGGTATGTTCCAGGAGCCATTCCAAGAACTTTACAAAGTCATTCCATGCACACACACAATCCTCCAAGAGACACACTATTTTATTCCCACTTTACAAATGAGGAAACTGAGGCACAAAGGATCAAGATGACAAAGTTAATAAATGGCAGGGCCCATATTCAAATTCAGGCAGGTGAGCGCTGGTCTCTGTGGTCTTCTCCACTATGCCACAGCAGCTGAAATACTGTTCCTGGGGAAAATGAAGTGGAACAGATTTGAACCGTGTCTTCGTGCCACGCCAACCCCTGCCTCAGCCAACGTGCTCCTTGCACACAGCAAACACGTATTGAGGACCCCCATGTTCCAGACTATGTCCTAGGGATTCAGAGGACATGGATCTAAATAAGACATGGATCTTATTCTCTAGACTTGCACTGGCCAGTATGTTTGCCACTAGCCACACTTAACTAATTAAAATTAAATAAAATTTTAAATTTCTTTCCTCAGCAACAGTAGCTGCATTTCACGTGCTGAATAGCCACATGTAGCTATTGGCTAGTGTATTGGACTGTGTATGTATAGAACCTTTCCATCATTGCAGAAAGTTCTATTAGAGAGCAACGTTCTTGACCTTTGCTACTTAAAGAGGGTTCCCTGGACCAGCAGCATCAACATTACCTAGGAGCTCGCCAGAAATGCAGAGTCTCAGGCCCTGCCTCAGACCTACTGGATCAGAATCTTCATTTTAACAAGATTCCCAGGAGATGCTCGTGTATCTTAGAGTTTAAGAAGCACTTCAGTCTAGAAACTTTTTTTGCCCTTTGCTTCTATTTTACCAATAATTCCCTAGCCCTTTTTACTACACACACACACACACACACACACACACACACAGACATACACACACACACTCCTCATTATTCCCATTCCATGCTCAAGTGTTCATTGATAATTAAGCCTAAGAGAAGGATTTCTCCCTGGAGTATCTGCCCTATAATAAGTGACTTAGAGAATCAGAGCTGTCCAAACTAAAGGAACAAAAAGAGAAAAAGAGCACTGGAGTGACAGGCAGTGGGATTCTGTCTGATATTCCCTTAAACTCCTAAGTACGAGGAGAGTCTGGGCAGAAAAGCTTAGACAGGATGAATTAGTGGAGAGAAGCTGCACCTGATGATCAGAACCATGTCGGTGCCAGTCTTGGAGCTCTTCTAAGTAACTGGACAGCCTTAGACAAATTACTAAAACCCTCCAGAGTCTAGATTCCTTGCCTGCAAAAGGAAGGACATTGTGATGGCCCCTTCTGGATCTCAGTTCTACCCAGTTCTTACCACTAAAGTGTTGGTGAACCTGAACAAGTCATGGCTCTCTATGCCTCAGTTTCCTTAACTGTGTCAGGAAGAAGATGAACACATTAATTTGTGTTTTTCTTCTATTCCAACAGTCCATTATTCTCTAAGACTATTAGCCCAGTTCTCTAAATGTCTAGATTCCTGCGTGGAATGATAGAGGCATATCTTAAAGATTTCATGGTATCATTCCTAGCAGACTTTGGACACAGATCCAAGTCAAATAGACAGTGGGGTTCTGCTGGGATCTGCTCCATAACCTGCTTGAAGTTAAATGAGCTGAGTTGGAAACTCAAGCGTGAACACAGGAGTCAGAGTGTTCTCAAGGGAGCCGAAGGACCCTGATGGGTCTTGCTATCATCATGGCCCTCTCTTAAAGCATATGCCAAGCAAGGGGGAAAAAATTGTCTATTGGCAGGAAGGGAAGGCAAGAAGAGGACTGAGATAGCAAAACTATACATACACATAAAGATCAATGATAACCAGCAATAATAATAATAACAAACATTTATTAAATGTGCGCAATGATCTAGGTTCTTGTGGTCGACATGGAGATGCAGCTCACAGATCTCTGTTTAGGAAGGGCTTGTTGTCCAGCTTCAGGCTGTGTGCCTCCAGCTGCCAGCTCCTTCAGGGTTTACTTCATCTGAAGAGAGTCCTGAAGCACAAGCCATATCCCTTGTTGGGAAAGGCTACATCAAATGACTGATCTAGGGAGAAATGTAAAGGATTGGTCACCTTAACTCAAGTCAGGAAAGCTCTGGAAGGCTATTTTAGCCCCAGAGCTCATGCCTGGTTGGCTGAGGCTTCATCAGACCTCTACCACAGCTTGACATCTTTCTCCCAATCCCACTTCCTAGACCTCCCTCTCATGGGTGTTAATCCCTAATAAATGTCTTGCATCCCAGATGCCCTCAAAGTGTCTGCTTCCAAGACCCCAAGACAAATTCACTGTAAGAGTCAATGGTTATAGTAAGCACTGAAATCTAATCCATTCACCTGAGGAAAGTCCCATTTTATTTTTAAAAAGAAGAAATGAAGAAAAGATACAGAAAGAGAGGAAGAAAGGAAAGAAAGAAGGAAAGAAGGAAGGAAATTAATAGAAGTTATGTACTTCCTAAGATTCACAACTCACCACCATAGGCGCTGAGAAAATGGAATTTGTGACACCTTTGGACCATTATGGAAATAGCAGTCAGTGGTCAACTGAGCACCAGCCTGGATGAGGAAGAGAGAAATAGAAACTTCTCCACTCTGTTCTCACATTGCAAACAGTCTTTCAGGTTCTACAACAGGAGTGGAAGAAATAGGGCAATAAAGGAGAGACTCAGGGCAAGCTGGCACATGAACCTCAGTAAGGTCTGACCAAGTTTCCGGAAGTTCCTTTGTTCTTTGCTCTCTTTCCATTTCTGGCACTACTTTTTTATAAGAAATAATAATGAGGACTGAATATTGATCTTTTACTATGTGTCAAGCAAATGTACCATGAGTTGTATGTATATTATATCAGTTATGACTTACAACAACCACAGGATATTGAGGTAGATATTATTGGTCACCAGCTACTCACTCGCCCTTACCTCTTTCCTTGGGAAAAGTATAATTGCTGACCCCTTCAGTGTTGAACTTGGCCATATGACTTGTTTGACCAATGAAATGAGAATGTATACAAGAGGATGCTCTGACTGGAATTGTTAAATGGTTTGGCTCATTCTCTCGTGCTCCTGACATCCCCCTCAGAGAACTACTTCTCTCTCAGCTTGGTGCCTGTGGAGTAGATCTGAAGCCAGCTTTCAGCCTAGAATGGAGCTGCCACAGTTGACCTACAGACCCTTGTAGGAAAAAACCATATTTATGGTTATAAGCCACTTAGATCTAGGGGGAGCCGTTTGCTACATAGCATTATTGTAGTAAAAGCTGGCTAATGCAGAAATGTTCTTTGCTTGTTCCCATTTTCAGATGAGGAAATTCAGGTACAGAGAAGTTAAATGACTTGACCAAGGTCACACAGCTAAAGTAGTGAAGAAGCTGGAATTTCAACCACACAATATAACTTGAAAATAGTGTCCTAAGCACCTGCTTTATATTTCACGTTCACTGTTTGAGATAGACACTGTGACTTCATTTTATATGAAATGCTAAGAGATCTTTGAATTCCACTTCAAACCAACATGTAGTTATTTTATTTCCTAGGTCTTTTTAATCATTCTTTGATGCTAATGTCTATGAATGAGCCAACATTTAATGTATGATTCCTGTGAATATTGTAACCAAAGAAATCACACTAAACTGTCCAATCATTGGTTCAGTAAACAAGCACATTATTTCTGTTTCCAAAAGAAAGTGAGTCAGCATTAAAAAATATCTGATTTCCTTATCAATAGAAAACTCAGGGCAACTCTTACTGCAAGAGAGATGAGGAACATGTTAGAACTGGCATATCTCTAGACCTTTGTGCTTTAAGAGATTTAAGCCTTAAAGAGAAAGATATATAAATGAGGAACTGTAGCCTGCATTTAATTAAACTTTTAAATTAAATAACTCTATGCTTTCTTATTAATTTTCAAAGGTAGCGATCAGAAAACTATTCCCCCTTGTTATGTCACACTTACGTTCAAGCTTTTCTTATATGATACTGCAATGTATACAATTAAGTCAAATGATTTATGTGAAAACATCCTCCCCCTTTTTTTTCACTAGCTGAATTTAGACTACAAGGAATTCTTGAACCTTCCTGGGGAATTTCAAGATCCCAACAGAACTTCCACGCACACTCTTCCTTAAGATAGCCCCATCCATCTTCTCCTGACGCTGTGGCTGCTTTCACAGCCCTTAGAGAAGATAAACTTGTGACCCAAGCTGGGAAGTTGGGACTGACTCACGCTGAGAAGCTAAGCAGTATAAAGGGCATCTGGTACTTTAATTTATTCCTTCAGACTTCCCACTGCCCTTACCAGAAGCTTACTGTCACAGTCCTCCGGGCTCTTTCAACTCAAACCATTTATACACCTCACTAGAAATGCATAACTATAAAAGTTCCAAACCATTAGTTTAGATTCTTTCCAGACCCCTTCAGAAGGTCTGCCCTAAAGACAGTGACACGCAGTAAATGATCTCAAAGGGAACATGCCACAAAATACTTAGTGGAAAGATGACCCGGGATGGAAGAGGCATAACAAAGAAAGGCATTTTAAGATTCTACCTCTAACTGCCTCAAACGTGTTTTACCTCTTTTAGCCTATGAACACCACAAACAAAATGGCGATACTGATATTTTTCCCCTCACCTCTGTGCTGGATAAACAAATTGTTCTTTTGTGGCTTTCCAGAGGGTGTCCCATCAGTGGCTTCCAAAGGGCAGCTGAAAAAGTAAGAATACATATTACAGTTACAAACTAAAAGAAAATGCCTGCCAGTTTCATATACTGAGCACAAGGTCTGCTGTAAGCCCAGCCCTGCCCTATGCATGATGAGAAATGCACAATAGTGATGAAGCCTTCATCCCTTCCTTCAAGATGCTCACACAGCTGGTATTCATTCCTCACTGTGAGCAACAAGTGCAAGGTATGTCCCAGGCCCTGAGAAAGAAAACAAGGGCAAATTGATCAATTTTCCTGATTGCAAAGACTTCACAGTCTACCAGAAAACTGACACTAAATAATTCTAATACAAGACAGAAAATGGGTCTTAAAAGACAAAATTTGGATGAATATAGATGAAAGGAGAGCACTCTAAACAGAAGAGAATTCTATTCAAATGAGCAAAGGACAAAAGTGGAGAAGTAGAGGGACAGAGTGGAAATAGTTTCATTCAACTCAAGTGTAGGCGACATAGTTGGCACCAATGGGAAATAAAATGGGAAAAGCAAGTTGGGAAGAAATTTCAAAGGGCCATGGCTATGAGACTCAGGAAGTTGGCATTTATTCAAAATCTCTTCTGCTGAGCTTTGGTGTTACGAAGACAGAATGGGCAATGATCCAGGATACCCTCCTGGTGTAACCAGAACAGCCTGCTTTTATCTAGTTGACATACTAGAGTTTCTGGACAAGATTTCACTCAAGGGGCCACATACAACGCCACCGCTGTCAGCAAACTGAAGCTGTGCAAGGTTTTTAAGAGGGTCAGGTGAGTCAGAAATCAGATTCCAAAAGATGAAGCTGGTGGTAGCAGTGTGTAAAATGGATTAGAGGGAGGAGGTAAACTTGAAAGGATAAATTAAGAGGTTATTGCAACATCCCCAGGTAGAGGTACTAGGGGCCTGAATTCAAGCCCAGTGGTATGGGAAAGGAGGCAGTTACAGGTAGTACCACGAGGTCAACCTTCTGCCTTGGAAGCAAAAGGAATACACAGGGAGTCAAGGGTTTTGAGCCTGGAAGATGGGGTGCTGTCGCTTGAAACAGAGAACACAGAACGTAAGACAAGTTTGGAAACTGAGAAGCCAAGTTCAGCATGGGACTTATTAAGTTTGAGGTTCTAGCAAGATTTCCAGAGGGCAAATGTCTTGATGGGAATGTCATGCAGGTAGCTGGAAAAAAATAATCTCCCTAGATAAACACACAAATAAGAGATGAGCACATTAAACAGTTAATCATATACAGGTATTTTTAATAAAGTGCAAAAGATCGTTACATACCAGACTGCATTTAGCTATCTGCTTTCCTGGTTTATCTTCCTGGCCCCAAAACAGTTAAGTGCACAAGATTTGGCCCCAGATCCTCTGTTTTCCCTGCTACTTATTCTTCTACTCAGAGACCTTATTTACTACCAACTTCAAAAATCCGCATTCCATATCTTTATCTCCAGCTCCACAGCTCCGACTTCCTGCTAGGGATGGCCACGTGACTTGGGCACCCCCAACTCAATCAAGGCAAAGATGAATTCATCTTGCCCTCTCCTCTTTAACTGGTGCTTCCTCCAAATGCCTCTATTTCTTTGAGCTGAGACTTCAAGCACTGGTGCCTCAGACCTCCCCTCACTCATGATACAGTCATCCTAGAATAGCCCTTTTCTGAGAAGTCATTCTCCTGCTCAAAAGTCTCTGGAAGCTTCTCAGTATGTACGGAATAAAAGCCAAGGTTCTCAACCCAGGTTTCAAGGCCATCCACAGGTCCCCCCAAATTACTTTTCTAATCACAGTTCCCACTGCCTCTCTGCCCAAGCCTGCTCTGAAGAGACCCTCGTACACTTGACTCTCACACATGCGCACCTGGATTCCGTCCCACCTTGTCAAGCATATTGGCCTTCCTTCCTTCTGCGAGAGACCATCCCTCCTCAGGCCTTTCTTCACATGACTTGTACTCATCCTCCAAACCTTGGTAAATGTCCCATCTTGTCCTCAACCCCTTCCTTGTCTATTCCAGGTCACAGGTGGGACTTTCTCTACATTCACTAAACAAACCAGATGCTGTTTGCCTATCTATTTCCTCCTGTGTGCTATGGGATTATAACAGTACCTATATCATAGGATTGTTTTGAAAATTAAATAAGTGCGTAACAAATCATTATTATCAGTATTATTAGATATTAGACATTGGGCTAGACCTTTAGGGATATAAGTAGGAATAAATACAGTCCCTCACCGCAAGGAGGTCAAAATCCAACGGGAAAAAAATGGATTGAGGAAGGGAGATGCAAGTAATCGCCCAATTCTTCGCTGTCTTGTCTATCTTTTCTAGGATGTAAGGCAGGACTTTTCTACAGGATTGGAAGCCTTGGACAAAGTAAGTTTAATATTTTCTTGAATGACTCTTCAGAAAATGTATCTTATTTCTCTTTTTTTTGTGCTTTTTACTTCTCTCAGGAGACTGTGTACTAAATAATTATACTTTCACAGGATAAACATTTTAATTCCAAGAGTCAAAGATTTTTACTCATCTGTCTACTTTTCAAAATAACAGCATTATTATTAGCAATAGGCCAATATTTAACGTCTCCCACTGACAGGTCCTCATCCTTACGTGCTTGCACATCATACACACACACTCATCCCTGACTGTTCAATGCATATGTACTCAATGACTCTTAAAAAGCACTGAATCTAGAGACAAAGAAAGAAAAAGAAAAGAAATTCTTGTCTCAGCTCTACCTTTAGAAGAAGAATTGAGTACCTTAATTGACCTTGCCAAGCCTCAGTCTACTCGTCTGTAAAATGTATGCACTAGATTGTGGCCCCCAGTCCCGGTCGATCATAAGATGTACAGCTAGGGACATTTGTTAAAATCCTTATTCCTGGGTTCCAATCTGGACCTGCTGAGTCAGAACTTCCAGGGCAGAAGCCT